CATCTTTGCCCATCTAAGAGTTTTTACTAGCACAGACTCCACATCAATCTCTCTCTCGGTGTAAAGGGGAAGAGTGCAGCGCGAGGGTGCGGGTGTGGGCGCAGGTACTGTCGCACACCCCCCGTACCTTGTTTCACAGCCGTGGACGGGCTCAGCTTCCCAGACTTGATCTGGGCTTTGGCGAGATGCAGAGAGGCTGCTAAGAGCTGTGTGGCTTTCATGTATAACACCAGCTGCTCCACACGCCTGCGCCGGAAGGAAGGCAGAGAGTGTTATCTGCGAACCAATGCCCCCCACTCCATCCTCTATGCATCAGGCCACCAGAGAGCATTTCTAAAGGAGTATCATCCTCCTTGACATTTTTTTAAAAAATATTTATTTATTTAACAGAGAGAGAGAGAGAGAGAGAGAGAGATCACAAGTAGACAGAGAGAAAGGCAGAGAGAGAGGGGCAGGAGGCTCCCCACTGAGCAGAGAGCCCAACGTGGGGCTCGATCCCAGGATCCTGAGACCATGACCTGAGCCGAAGGCAGAGGCTTCACCCACTGAGCCACCCAGGTGCACCACCCTTGACATTTTTAATGCACAAATAACTCCTGAAGGAAAAAAGGTTCAGCACAGAAAAAAGTGTGTGTGAAAAGACTCAAGAACCAATACAACCTCTTCATCATCAAATACCTTCAACAGTATAAGTCACAAGGAAGAGGCAATACTAAGGGTGCAGAATCTTCGAGTCTTGGCTCACAAATGGAATCTAGGCCAGTGACATAACCAAGAGCTCCCTTGAAGTGTCTCTTCATGAGACACAATCTCTAGTGTCTGACAGGACCTCCATCTCAGACACAAATTTACAGAAAGCAGGGAGAATTTGGAAGTGAACGGCAAAGGGGGCACGTACCCCCAGTCTTTGCTCAGCTGGCTGATCTGGTCCATGGCCACACTCTCCTGGATCTGGTACAAGGAGACAGCAGATGTGCACAGCTCCGGGTGGCTGCCCCGCACGGCCATCAGGTCCAGCATGCACTCCGTGAACATCAGCATCACGTTGAGGTGGCGTAAGGTGTCTGTGTCTTCTCTCTGTGGCAAAGCCAAATTGTCTTAGAAACTTAGAAACTAAGAAGACGGGCATACTTTTTTCTGTATATACACTGCGGCTGAAGCTACTGTGTTTTTATACTTACAAACATCAGAATGAGTAGAACAGACTACAATTTTTAAATTCCCCAAAACTAGTAGGAAAATAAGCACAGGTGAAACACAATGTGGGTGTGTGGGTGTGTGCATGCGTTTGTGTGTATGGATGAGAGCAGCCACAAAATTAAGTTTCAAAGATATGAGGTCACGTG